GTAGGTTTGGGTCCTACCTTGACATATAAAGCTTGTAACCATAGACGCAATTTAACAAACTTTGGTTTCAATGTGTACGATCGGCATCATTATTGAACAACAATTATTGTCGCTATTGTGTGAACATTATTATTGATTTTTGCAAGACATCTTCAGAAGATTTAGTAATAACAATGGGGTCATAACAAGGTATCGTTGATTAAGGTCAATTCGATAACCTTTGGTCACAATGTGCTATGTATCAGAATAGGTTGTATTTATTTTCATAATGAATTTACAAAAAATATAATATAAATGCAAAAGGTTGTAAATTACAGAGTGACAATCTCTACAAACTCGACAGATTTTGTAGAGACGAATCATAATATATTATTGGTTATACAGTGTTGACATAGGCCCTATCCCTCCTTTCGCGGCCGAAAAAAGAGTGTCCCCCAAAGGACTGTAGGCCTACTTAGATCATGGCCTCCAGGTATACTGCCGCCTAATATAATTGAGAAAAACTGGCAGGCTCACTTAGGTTATCAACTTAAGTCATATATTTTAAAAGGTTTTTTCAATTATTTACTGACGTTACTATTAAAATCTTTAAATTAGCCTGCCAAATTTTAAGGGACGTATAACATTACGTAACTTTTTAAACGAGTTAATTTTCGAGGAGACTGTAATCTTGCTTAAATGTTAGTTGAAAGCTTGTAGGATCTTAAATATACAAAGTAAGCAAATGAATTATTGTTTTTGTTCATTTTATTTACATGGCAAGACCATGGATGTTCATAGTCAATGCACAGAAGGTCATCTATCTCAGCTTGTTATATCTTTCACCATGGCCTTGATGGTACTCAGACCGTGCCAATGTTTTAGGGGCTGCGAACCGAGTCAATTGTTATGCAGAAGAATAACCAATCATTGTCACAACATGGTCACAACCACTTGTATATTCATCTGTTGCACCAGAGAGTTGTTAGGCGATAACCCTGGTCAATCAAAAGGATTTAATTGAATGCTAACATCCGCTGTATAGTACTGTATTCTGTTAGTTAAAACCTGTAACAACCGAATTCACTGACCAATCATCACCGGAAGCAGGTCAACTCGGCCACAAGTCAACTCGGCCACAGTCAACTCGGCCACAAATCAACTCGGCCACAGGTCAGCTCGGCCACAAGTCAACTCGGTTGCAACCCAACTCGGCCACAGTAAACTCGACCACGGTCTACTCGGCCACAAGTCAACTCGGCCACAAATCAACTCGGCCACATGTCAACTCAGCCACTTGTCAACTCGGCCACAAATCATAGTTACCGCGCCGGACGTACAGTTGTGGGATCCCACAAGTTATTTATGTTATGGAATAAAATACTTTATTAAAATGAATTGTAAATATTGCTTTTTTGCATCCTTTTTCTTCAATATGACAATGATTCAAATAAAGTAATAGGGTGAGGTGAACAATGTGACACAATATTTGTATTTTGTTGTTATTTCCATTTTGATACATAATCCAATTCCGATATTAATAGTATTTTAAAAATTCAGATAGGCCCTATGATTATATATAATTCCATTCCCGATGATGACATAATTAATGTAGAAATATTGAATCCCGACGATGGCGTGCATTTCGATACTGGGAGTATGTATTATACTATCTAATTATTTATAAAATACACAAATAAATGGCTAATAAAGTATGGTTTCAATATTATTTATATTATAAATACACACATGTTAATGGCCGTTTCGGGCTTCTTTCTGTATAATAAGCCGGAAAAAAAAAATTCACTCCCTTCCTAGGCCAATTATGTACTAGTTGCTTGGAACTATTACTATTTTAAAAAATGGAAAGAAACGTTCACACAAATGGGTTCCCACTGAGTACTCAAGGTGACACTCTCTTTGTACGCCGCCTTTAGAAATGTAGGCCAGATGCTAAAAACATAGACGACTGGATATTTTTGTACAAGACATGCGATGGCAGTGGGCACTTGTTTTCCGTATTTATACTTCGTCTCTGCTATAATTCCGAATTTATTATTTTGTTTAAAAAATTGTTAAACTTTTTTAAAGCTTTTAATCAATTTCATGATCGGCATGGATCAAGATTTCACACAATATTATTCGCGATTGGATTAGGATGATAATTTCTGCAATCTAGCGACGAACACAAATGCTGTATGTAAAACGTTCGGTAGTTAAACTGTAACTTTATTGCATAGTATTCAAAAATTCAGATAGGGCCTATAAAATTATACGTTAACAAATTAATTCAAATACCATAATACGAACGATGTTTGCCCTACGGCTACCTGACGTGCAATATATACAATTCATTTTAATAAAGTATTTTATTCCATAACTGTTATAAATAACTTGTGGGATCCCACAACTGTATGGCACGGAAACTACACGGATTCATGCTTGGTTTATTATATTTTATCAAGACTTTAATTTATTGATCGGTTGGTTTTTGTTTACTGTTTAATAACATCCTACATTAGCATGTGATACTCCGATGAAAAAAATTAATGACGTCACCGATATCATAATTAAACTATCAACAAGTGACCAACATTTTCAATGAATGAAGTCATCGTGATTACTACTTCATACGTCACCTCACACCTTTATCACCAATATCAACAGCATTATGAATGACGTATGTTAACGGTTATCAGCTACTAACGTTATCAGATGTACTTGTTATGAATGACATTTTTGAATTGTTTGTAGGGTCATGACGTTATTTATCATCGTAAACACTGCATGCGAGCAGCACATCATGTGGATGAAAGTGATTTATTCATCGGTTCCCCGGCATCATACTGAATTTAGATGTATACTTATTTACATATTTTTTAATTGTCACTTCCCCAAACCATCCCCTTCGGACCATGGGCCCTTTCTCCTTCCATTTTTGGTGATGAAATCGAATTGTAAGGGCCTAGATTAATTGAGCTGGTAAAATGCAGCCTCTGAGCATGAAGGAATTAGTAAACTAATTCCTCCAGCTCTAAGGGTATGAACGGCACAGTGCTCATGGTGCTCTCACATTAATTTTGTTTGCAGTAACTTGTGTTAATTTTAGAGAATGTAGCCATAGAATTTAGATGGATTTACTCATTTTTTTCTTCATTTTTTTTCTAGGTAAGGAACGACAGACATTGTTCTGTGTGCAATAAATCTTCCGGAGGAGAACTTTTTCCGTGTCGAATTTGTACCAAAGTGTTTCACGAGGCCTGTTTACGTCGATCCGGACACATTCAGGACTCTTCGTCTCTACAGCAATTTAAACTAGCAAATACAAATATTGGATGGTCATGCCACGATTGTGTGAGTTATCAATGTGTTAATTTATTGACTCTCTTATCATATACACACACCGATAGTGTTAACTATGATAGGCATTAGTTCGTGTCGTGTCGATTATTTATTAATGCACAATACTGTGAAAAGGCAATAATAATAACACGTCATTGCGTTTGTATAGGTCTACCTACTCATAATGTTTGTTATTTTTTTAATATTTATTTTTGTTATAATAGTCAACATTTCATTATCTTTTCTGACGTTTGTCAACAGTAACATCACCCTCATAAATCAAAGTAATAAAGGTATCATGTATCACTATTAATATTATTTTATTATAGACTCCCGAGATGGTATCCAGCAAGGGATAGTTTGTTACCGTAGTCAAAGCGCTAAGTGCGACGTATGGTTCTTTAGTGCGCTATATAAATAGTAAAACTGTGTATAAATTGTATGTAATTCAATTGCTATGGATTTATTCAAATCTGAAACAAAATTGAATAGGCCTAGTAGTAATAACAATGACAATGATAATGATATATAAATACTTGTATCTGATGTGATAATCTCGCTTTTAACTCTTAGTTCTGTGTGTGTATTACCTTGTTTAGGAGAGTTTGAATAATTTATTGGACGAGGAGGACATGTTTGAATTGATGGATTCGTTTGAGAAATGTGACGTGGACTCAGGTACCAACTTTCTTTAATTATTTTCGTTACTTGGTATGTTGTGTTGTGTTGAATGGCAGTCGGTTTAAAACTTTCCATTTGTAAGATCGATATCTCACGATGTACGGTACCCGTAATTTATTAATTTCCCATGTAATAACATGCGCCTATAATTTGTTGTATGATTTGTTTCCAATCAACACTTAAAATTCGCCTATTTAGGCCTATTAATTTGAGTGTCAGTCAATAGGGTTATTATAAATATTATATATATGTTTTTGATTGGGTTGTCCTGAGATAAATAAATTCAACCCAACGAAATCAGAATTCTTTTAATTATCATTTTTTATTATCATCATCATCCCCACCACCACCATCATCACCACCACCCAATCATCATTATAGTCTTGGGCCTTACGGCATTATACGACTACATCTCATCTTCCTGTAATGGGCTGAGTGATACAGATTCTACCATTGTCGGGATTCGGCTGTACGGAAATAGTACCGTATAAGCATTCACTTTCGTAATTGCAATAATGTGTTCATGTATACGCTTGCATTTGTAAATATTTCTTTTTACTCTATTAATATCAGTG